CAAGTAGCTGCGAGAGAGTTCAGCTGAATTTCTACCCCTGCCGTTCTAAGAATACCTTTTCCAGCTCAGCAGGGTCTTGGGTGATAAACGAACCTTCATTTTTATTGGTCTTTTCATCTGGTTTCTTGGGTCTTGGTGGGACTAGAGCTATGGCAATGACACACTGGCTAATGGTTGAGTTTCTTTTCTCTGCCATATTTTAAGGTAAGTGTTGGCAGTGTCCAATTCTAGGAAAAGATCACAACACTGACTTCTTCAAACCTGTCACATCCCAATAAGTATTGCTGGGTGCTGGCCTTAGAAACACCTGCATATAAATTCATCCTCCACTACTTATTAGTGGTACAACTTTGAACAAATAATCCAAACCCAGTGATTATGTTTCTTCAACTGTAGTGTAGCAGTAAAATGCCCATACACTTTGGTCAGTACGAGGCGTAGAGAAAATGAAAGTACTATACTTGGGAAACAATTGGCACAAAATTGGGTGCTCGATAAATGTTGAATGTATTCTTACAATTAATATAATAATGCCATCATCTTGATGTTGTGGCTCACACTGAATGCATGAAGAATGGCAGGGTTGGGTTGTATTATGCAGGTTAACCTCATGATCCTGCAGCTACATATGTCAAGCCTATAACTACTTATCTGTGTCACTTTGGTAAATTCCTATTCCTTTTCCATGCTTCTATTTGTAAAATAAGGACAAAGAACTATATCAGGGTAGAAAATAGGCTTAATCTTTATTGTTACTCTAGTTGAACAGTGCTGAGAACCTAGAAAACAGGTTTTAAAGAATTCTGTGGCCGTGGCTGGGTTCATAAGATAAATTTGCTATAATCTATTAGCAATGTCTAGCATGGGTAGGGAGGTTGGTCACAGCTATCCCAAATATTCCAGGCCTAAACTAAATGTTCTCTAGGGATTTTCTCAATGCCCAATCATCTTGTTCCTTTTCTGAGTCTTCTTGATGGGCCTTTGTAATTTGGTGACATCCTGTCCATCCAAATGAGTATTTAGTATCAGTGAAGTAAAAAGTAGATGTGGATACTCCAGTTAAGAATCTGAAAGGAGAGTGGTAGACCATGAGACCATGAAGCTGTTTCTCCAAATGGAATGAGGGTTTCTTTGAGACTTCACTGCAATTTGAGAGAGAAAGAGGGAGAGAGAAAGAAAGAAAGAATTTTCATCAAAAGGGAAAACAAGATTGCTCCCTAACGTTACACATATAAACCACATCCCAGTGATGCCATGTAGGGTTTGGAATATCATTTGCTGGTAGGTTTCTGTCCAATAACATTTAGTAATGGATACACCAGTGGGTTTAACCAAACCAGAAACAGTTATTTCCTGATTTCCAATTGAAAGTTACAGGTTTCTAACAGTTGTATCATTATATTAATGTGTGCTACAGATAGGTTATTTTAGAAATTGATTTATCCACTTCCTTGATATTTAGGATCTAAGACAACAGTGTTTTATTTCTGGGGGTAACTTGGTTAACTAGGGTAATGAAATTTGATTTTTATGAATCTTTAGAAAGAAATCATGTAAATCACTTCTCAGTCTTGCATTTTTGTAAGGTTGTCCATTGGTATCTTATCCATCTTAAGCACAACATTCTTCCTGCAAGTCAGAGATATTTGCCTTAGTTTTAAAAGCTTTTCGGGTATTGATTTGATACTAGGTTTTCTTTCTTTACAATTTCTATGGCAGGGTGTATTCTTCATATTTCCTTCTTAATATGCCTCACTTCAGACAGCTACAGCATCTGTTGGGTCCTGCTATTGTGAATTTGTGATCTCTGGCAAAACAAAAATCACCAGCCTGTAGTCATGCTGTTCCACTGGATATGATGAAAAAAAAAACAATATTTTAGATGGTTTTCTCAGAAACAATCAATACTATAACATGAATTTTATTCACAGCATTCCCTCAACAAGGCTTTATGATAGAAGGGCATTTGTAGAGGGGAATTTATGAATATGACAGCAGCAATAAGCAGCTGAAAATAATCTATGAGACGTTTTCAAATTACCCCTCATGAGCTGTAGTCCTTGTGAAAGATAATTTGTGGTTCTCACAGAATACCCTGCAAATTGGGTCTTTCATCTGCAATGTTTTTTTATAGTTAAAACATTTCATTTCTCATATTAACAAGTGATAACTCTGCATTTGTTAATCTAAACAATTTGATTTCTATTTTTCTGTGCTGAGAGGCTGTTGACATTTCAGGGTAAGTAATTATTTTCATTGCCAACTGCTGTTTGTGGTGACTGTAGGCAAAAGATAGAAATCTGAATATACATAGGCATTGTTTTAATCATTTTCCTTGAAAAGTATTCATAAAACAGGAATCTCTTTGCCTGTGTTATCATCTGTACTTAGAAATCTAATAGGACTTGGGTGTTGATGAGTGAAGATTCTAGCCACACTCAGGGTTTTCTGCAGTGTGTTGGAAACTCTCTCATATACCCACTGTGGGCAGGGGGATGGTGTTGACCTGCAGTGTCACCAAGCCTCTGGCAGAGCACTGTGCACTCTTGGTCTTAAGCCACAGTAATGAAAGGGAGCATGTATTATTGGCCTTGGTAGCTTCCAGCTTATTTAATACCTGTTCAAGTATCTTAGGGCTAGTTGCCAGGATGACATGGCGAATGCTCACGAGAACACCTCTCACCATGCCTGGTACCTAGTGTGAGCTCTAGAAATACTTGTTGAAATGAGGATGACATAAAAAGATCTTCTAACTTTCCTTTGTCATGTTGCCTTCTTGGCCAAGTACTTATGGTCCAGGGCAAGGGAAAGAATAACTTTTTTCACCTAGAAAGCAATCATTCTGTCCTTAGACTGGATGCTCAGCCTTGCCCACTGAAGTGCTGCCCAAGGTGGAGCAGAAATGTGGCACCAGGGCTTGGGATGGAGTTGGAACAGTCAGCTTTCTCTGGGGTCTGTTTTTTATCTTAAAATCCATGCTGATTTTTCAACCTACTCCTCAACATATCGAGGTTTATTTTAACATTCAGGAAAAAAAAATCAACACCAAACTTGATACTTGCCCCCCTAGAAAATCATGTAGCAAAACTGCTGCTCTAAGAAGATGGTTTATCTTTAGCTTGTGGTGTGCTAGTTGTGAGGCACTGGGCAGGTGTAGATGGCCTCTGTGATGAATAGGGGAGCATTGGTGTGTGTCCTGCAGGGTAAGCTGTGGTAGGTTTCTCAGTAGTTCCCTTGGCCTCTTTATACTATTGGCCAAGGCTCTGACTGCATCAGACAGGGAGAGAGTACTCCTGCTGTGTGGACCTCCCATTCACATTCCAGGTTAGGGAATGGACTACTAATTTAGGATCCAAACTGATTTTTACATGGCCTGAAGGAATGAATGTAGAGCCAGTACTCTGAATGGCAAATGTGTTTTATCCTTTGAACCGATTCCAATTGATTAGTTCTGGTTGCCTATAGTGCTGTCTTAAGAAGGCATCTGTGTTGCATCAGGGCTCAGCTGGGAGGAGTGCTGGGATTGATTAGCGATGTCTGTCAAGGCCTCTGGAGGGACCACTGACCCTATATTCGCCATTCTTTGCTTTTGACATGTCCTTAACTCCTCTCTGTAAAATGATTTTAATTCTAACAGGTGACTCTAAGTATGAGATAGGGCATTGTGAGAGAGAGCAGATAGATGACATTTTAAGAAAACACGCATGAGAAAATGCACATTTACAAAATGCAAAAATCTGGAGCCAATTATTGCCATTACAGAAAGATTCCATGAAAGGCTCCTTTAAATAGCGAGCTCCCCTACTGCATTAAAATGATGATTTAATTTACAAAAATTCACTTTGCATGCAACTCTTCAGGACTGTGCCTGTGGAGTAAAGCAAGCCACACCTGATTTTTTTTTTTTTTTTTAAAACCTCGGCCCAAATAATGTTCAGGATGGCTGCTGCCACCTATCTTGAGTCTCTTGATAATTCCCACTCTCTCCAGACTTCCTTTCTACTTCCTATCCCAGAGTGTTGAGTAGACAGTCTGGGTGGTGGTCAACAGCTGCTGGCTTCCACCCTGCCACGGCTGCATTTCATTAGTGGGTAAACTGATTGCTCTCAGTGTGTTTATGTGTGGGTGTGGCTGTACAAGTCTGTGCACTCTGTACACTATGTGTGTAGATACAGATACACACAAGCCATTATCTTGCTCTCAGCCCACTCTAAATTCATTCCTGCTGTAAGAGTTATAAATGGAAGGTTCCAATCGCCTGGTGGATACAGCCTTTTGGTAACATGTGCCCCGGATTCCAACTCCCCGTCCTCTTTGTGTTTGTTTATATGTTATTTACCCTCGCATCAGAAAACTTCCCCAGACCTTGGGCTCGAGTCCCATTATCCAGACATGGAACCCTCCTCTTCCTCTGTGGCCTAGAAAGCCCCAAATGGTTTTCTGATTTAGAAAATTAAATATAATCTGACTCTTGTGGCAAGCTTTGCAATTCCCAACCAACAGACTCTCCCATTAAATATAGACATACACAACATCTAAAAGTATCACCAATCTCAGATGAGTTTGAATTATAGAAGCATTCACTGCCCCTCGGGTAAGATTGCCAGCTTCTTCCCAGGCACTCAAAATTGGGAAGTTTTCCAGTGGACCATAAAGCTCTCAGGAATGCTAACTAACACACGTGTTTGAATTTCTGTTGCTCTTTTAAAGCGACTTAACACAGGGAAGAGTACCTGAGACGTGTATCTTTTCTTTCCCTGTATACTGCCTTCCCCCCACCCAGAGTCATTGCAATAACTTTTCAGGCACAGAGCACAAGTGTCGTCTCTATTTCAAATACAGCATTTTTAAAATATCAACATAACTTTTCCCCAGGAGAATATTTATATGGATAGGTCTTTTTCTGTTGAGAAAAGGAAGACCTTTGCAGTGAATGCATCAACCCTACTCATATACTTTCTCTGACCTAAAATGATTCTTCCTTTTTGAGATGGAGGCTCTCAGGCTGGTGAGCTGTCATACAGCTCTTTTCCTTCCATCTTCACAGGCTCATTAGTCTGAGCCAAGCGTCCCCCATGGTACTGGGCTGTGACAGCTGCATAGGTGCATCCGTAGATGGCAGCCGCCAACATCATGAGACACACGATCCCGCACACAACCCCAGTGATGATAACAGTGGCCACAGCGTGACGCAGGTTGGCCGGCCTTGGCTTGGGTTTGAGCTCACACTCTGGGTGGTCTCGCTCCCCTGTGCTGTGGCTCTCAGGAGGCTTGGGGACAGGCTGGTGGGCAGAACCCAGCTGCTGTCCCCTCAAGGACCCCACATCCAGAGAAGGGAAAGGGCAGGGCTGATACAGCTCATGAGGGATCTTCAGGAGTTCCTTTCCCTTCCAGGTGTCCGGTGATGCACAGATGACACTATCTGTTATTCCCCCTTTAAAAAAAACAAAAGCAAAGGATGATAGCAGACCCTGACACAACTGAATACCAAAATCCTCAACCTGCAAAAACTCAGGCAGATGGAATATATACAGCACCTGTTCCCCCCCACCCTTGGATTCAAAGGACTTAACCATAGTTTATGATTTTAGGATTTCTAAATTGGCTAAATGCTAAAAATGCCACACACTATGCTCAATTGTGTATGACCAAGAATTTGTTAGAATCCAGGTCACTGCTACTTTATAAATGCTGAGGGAGAAATGAGGCAGAAGCTGACAAGAAGGGCGGTCAACCTGAGATACTGTTGCCAAAAACAAGCTCACTACTCACTCCCTTAAGGAACCCTGCCATGCAGGACAGCTACTGTACCAAATTCCCATCGGAAATCTGAAATAATAAATAAATACAACAAATGTCCTTTGTTGTGACATTGTGTGTTAATTACAATACCTATGTGTCTACCAACACTCTTCGGTGATGCCAAATGGGGGGTCAATGGCCTTTTGAGTGTTTGTATATCTTTGACAGTAATATTAGTTTAGTTCATGGGATTAAGTACAATTAACATGTCTCCTCGGGCCTTGGAACATTCAGTAATTTGAGAACCAAACTTTCCAACACGTTATTAGAGCCAGTTTCCACTCTCTTGTAAGGTGATTGATTTCCTCAGGTTTGTAGATTCCTGTTGTTCAGGGAAGACTTGAGTGCCTAGTAATTGTTTCCTAGAAAGAACATTGAGCTAATAGATTTCATTCTGGCCAAATATGACCATTGATTTACTCTCTGACCTCAAGCAAATTCATTTCTCTGACTATATTTTTTGCCATAAAAACACCGTATTTATATCTGACTTGATAGTTGGCAATGCACTGTTTAGTAAGTCCTCACAACTCTGCTTTAATGGGTAATTCTTGTCCAAGGTCACCCAGGTAGGCCGTAAGGGGGGAGATCAGCCCTCAAACCCAGCCCAGCCCCATGATCCCGGTTTTCCCACTGTACTCTCTGACTCTCTCCACATTCTGCTCCCTCTTCCCTCTCCCCTCTGGAGTCTTTTGAGGTCAGCAGAGTTAATGCAATAACCCTCAGTAAAGCCCTGTGACTGGGTGGAGCCTGGCCTGTGTGACCTGTGGCTCAGCTCCCCTGGCTGCCATGAACTCCTCCCCGAGAATGGCTATGCAGCCTGGCACCATTCTTAGCCAAGTCAGATTGGAGATCCTTTGTACATACCACAGGTGGATTATGATATTATACCAGAAAGTCACATGTGGGATATGATCACTTCAATGTTATTATAACCTTCTATTGCACAGCTCTTCGGAGTTTGCAGAATGCCTTCCATCCATCATCTGGGCCTCATAAGCCGAGTCCTACAAGGCACTATGAGTAAATGGGGCCATGTTGCAGTGCCTTCATTATCATGGCCGAGGTCATACCGGGATTAGTGGCAATGGCAAAATTCAACCCACAGCTTTTTGTTGCCACTGCTTGAAAATGAATTGCCTACTACCAGAGTCAGTTGGGCTCCTCTTGGCTTCTTCAGTGATCCCCCTGAGGCAAGAGCCCCAACCCTAAATCAAAAAGGTAACAGAGGAATTTCTTCCTTTCCTGAGCTGACATGCAGGAGGACAGAGGTGCAGAGTGGCTGCTCCTGATGGGGCCTAGGTGCCATCAGGCTATGCTGAGGCTAAGGATCCCTGCCTCAGGGACCATTTCATGCCTCTGCCCAGGAATGTGTTATAAGGCAGAAGGCCAAAGAAACCGAAATGAAGTGTGGAGCTTTGAGAAGTGATGATATTCAGCCTCGCCAGAGAACATGGAGACCCCCCCCAGGGCCAGAAAGGCTGCCTGCCATGGGACCAGCAGTTCTGTGAGCTGACTCATCCCCAGACTGAGGTGGCCCACCCAATCACTTCAGGCTTGAACACTATCTTCTCCAATTTCAAGCTTCCTGCTGGTCAGTTTTAGGGTGAGAGGCATGGCCTCTGGACTCACAGTGCCAAGAAATACACAGGCTAGAGCCTGGGACACAGCTGGAAGTTAGGGGCTATAGCCATCAAGAGCTCCACGGCCACTAGTGCAGCTGTGTCCTCAGGATTTACCTCACAGCCTTCTACCACCATCTCCTCAGCCACGACCCCAGGAGGCATATCTGCTGATGACAGCTTGTGGGTGGCCCTCCCTTCTAGATCCATGGAAGTTGATAACATAAGAAGTTCCAGCTTGCTGAGACCTCACTGTCCTCCGTCAGGTCACTGGTAGCTCTTTACCAGTGTCTTGGAAGAAACTAGATTCAAATCTTGAGCCTATTACTTAGCTGTACAACCCTTAGCAAGTTACTTGACCATTCTTTGCCTCTGCTTGCTCATCTGGAAAGGGAGGGGAGAGGGATTTATAATGAAAATCATCTCACAGGATCACTCTGAGGTTCAGTTGGGTTAAGTAGGTCAAGTACTCAGCACAATGCCTAGCTATAAATGTTTAATACAGTTAGCTATTGACACGAAGATGATTTGTTTACTCTTGAATGGAGAGGAATACTAATTACAAAATCTATGTGCATGCTTTTGTGAAGGAGACATTTGATAGGTATTCATCAAAGCATGTTTTTTGGCCCTTGGGCCCACAGGAAGGCAAAATTTCCCCATTCTTTGTGCTCAGGTTGGGAACTGTTGTATGAGGCCCATGGAACCAATGAATGCCACTTTCAGGCCACAAAGTCCCCTGCTTTAATCCTCCATGTGATATATTCCTACTGGATGGTAACCTTAGAGGATAAAGTGGCAGTATTAGAAGCCGGAAGGGGCTTATGTCCCTGAATGACTGTGTGGGACCCAGCCCTAGCCCCCAGTTCCCTTGGGTCTAACACAAGTGAGCAATAATAGACTCTTATTGCACCCATCACTGATGGGTGTCCTGTCAACCAGCCTGTCCTGACTAATACCACTACTGTTTGTATTCATTTATGATCCTTTAAAAAAAAATAAGCTCTTGACCAATACCTATTTTGCCTTACGCAGTATATATTATTCTCCGTGGAGTCTGAGAATCAGAATGGGCCTCAGGAACTCTCTGGCTTAACTCTGTCAGCTTCCACCTGGTGATGCTGAGAGCTAGGGAGGGAGATTAATTTGTGTGAAGGTCACCAGTGAGTTTGTGGCAGAGTAGGGGGAACTATCTCCTGTCTCCTATATGATGTTGCTTCTAGTGTCCTGGACCTGGAAACTATCTTTTGTCAAGAAATGCTCTTCAATGAAAACTCTCTGAGGTTTGGCTGATGATCAGCATTTAGGTGGAGCATAATAGCTAAAGCCACTTCACCTCTAGGTGTGAGAAGTTTTATTCAAGACCTCCTACAAGTACGATTTTTGCCACATTCTATGCCCTCTGTTGTAGGTCAACTTGAAGATTAGTTGGCTAGTAATAGACTATTTGCTATTACATTGTTGAGGGGGATTCTTAACTCAATATTGTATATCTGAACTCATGCTGTGCTCTATCCACCTTCCTCCTATGTAACTGCTGCAACCATCCAGACTCTATTGACTCTCTGATTCATGTCTATAGCTCTGAGATCTTCCTGAGTTAGAGGTCCAAATACAGCCACCAACTCAGAAGCACCCCTTGGATGTGTAATGGGCACCTGAAACTTGACTTGCCCCAGATTGAACTCTAGATTTATCATCTCTCCCTCATCCTCACCCACTTGCAAAGAATGCAGGGCAAAGACCCCACTCCCCAGTCTGCCCCTTATCAGCCCCTGCAGTCACTGTTTATGTGGTTAACCATGCAGGATCAAACAAATCACATCTTCCATAATACACTCTTTTCTTTTTTTTTCTTCATTTTCCATTCCAATCCATTAGCCATTTCTATCAGTTCAGTATTCCAGATATCTCCCAAAGTTGATCATTTCTCATGACCTTGGCTTGGGCTACCATCTTCTCTTCCCAGGGTGAGTGAAATCACTTTCTGTCCCTCATCCCCTTGCTGTTGCTTCTGCATCCTGTGGTCTAATCTCCTTCCAATCACCAGATTCACCTTTTGAAATGTAATCAGATATTGTTTCCTTGACTAAAATTCTTCAAGAAAGCTCCATTTCATCAAAAATAAAATCCAGATGACTCAGCCCACTCTGCACGTTCCTACATGAGCTGGCCCCTGAGTACTTGTGTTGTTGCCTCATCTCTGTCCCTTCCTCTGTCCTAGCTACTCTGTGTGCCTCTCTTGTCTCTTAGATAAGCCGAGCTCACTCCCCTGTCAGGGCCTTTGCAATTTCTATTGTTTCCCACAATTATTTCATGGCTTCTTTCTCCTCATTGTTCAGATTCTGCTCACCCTTGTCGCACCTCCTTGGAGAAATCTTCCCGGTCCTTCCTCTCTGAAATGGGACTCCCATCCTATTGCTGCCTCTCCACTCATGCTGCCTCCTTGTTTCCCTAGCACCAAGTGCTGTCTGAACTTGGATATGAATTGGCTGTCTTATTTAACATCTGTTTCGGCTACCAGAGTGTAACCTCCATGATGGTAGAGCTTTTCTTGTTCACCTTTTCTCGTTGCCTAGAAAAGTGCCTAGCAGATAGGTGGCACTCAAGCACAGGAATAAATGAATGATGCTTGAAAATCAAAAGGAGGGATGCCTGGGTGGCTCAGTGGTTGAGTGTCTGCCTTTGGTTCAGGTTGTGATCCTGGAGTCCTAGGATCAAGTCCTCTCTGCGGGGAGCCTGCTTCTCCCTCTGCCTATGTCTCTGTCTCTTTTTCTGTGTCTCTTATGAATATATAAACAATATCTTTTAAAAAAAAAGAAAATTAAGAGGAAAGAAGCACTGTGATATAGGGGAAAGAATGTGGGGCCAAGACCCAATAGTCATTCATTCTATTTTCTCTGCTTCTACTCTGTCATCTTGGGGAAGTCCCTGATCATCTCTGAGCCTCCCACATCCTATTGATTCTAGGTGAGCATTGAGTTAGATAAATCAGCATGGATGTGTTCCCATAAATATTTACAAAAACAGAAGATGGGGGCAGCCCGGGTGGCTCAGTGGTTTAGCGCCGCCTTCAGCCCAGGGTGTGATCCTGGAGACCCAGGATCAAGTCCCGCGTTGGGCTCCCTGCGTGGAGCCTGCTTCTCCCTCTGCCTGTGCCTGTGCCTCTCTCTCTTTCTCTGTGTGTGTGTCTCTCATGAATAAATAAATCTTTTTAAAAATCTAAAAAAAAAAAAAACAAAACAAAACAGAAGATGGGTTGGATTTGGCTCTTGGGCTGTAGTTTGGTGACCCCTGGGTGATTTCCAGAGCCCTCATTTTTATTCTAGATTCCTTTGCTTTGATTTTTTTATCATCTGGTTAAAGAAAAAGTAAAGCAACTTTAGAGAGGAGTCCCTACTGCATCCAGTTTCAGTAACAGTGGTATTTGCTAAAGCAGAAGGGATAATCTCAGGGAAGATTATTGCTTTCAAATTGGTAGAACCATATACAGGAGAAAAACTCCTAAAGAGAGATATCATGCTGGATCACACTTGAAAATTAAAATTTTGTGCCACTTTGGAGTTGAGCGATGATTCAGAGGGTAAATTTCCCTCCTTCTTAAGGGCCTGCAGCTCTCATATAAATAATGTTGTTAATCAAAAAGTGGAAAGGGGGTGCCTAGGTGGCTCAGTCACTTAAGTGTCTGCTGGCAGCTTAGGTCATGATCTTGGGGTCCTGGGATCAAGCCCCACGTCAGGTTGTCCCCTAAGTGGGGAGTTTGTTTCTCCCTTTCCTCTTCCCTTCCCCCTGCTTGTTCTCTCTCTCTCTTTCTCTCCAATAAATAAATAAAATCTTTTAAAAACCAGTAGAAAGTTATCTCCATGAATCATATTTGTAGATGAATTTAAATCCTGATTTAAACACCCTGTCTAATGACTTACTACCTCTCTTGCCATCCATAAAATAACATCAGCGTGAAAAAGCTTACACTGGCCCTTTGCACACTCTCCAATGTTCCTTCTAATGCAGACAAGAGATGAGATTCACACTAGGCTGGTAACACGCAGGTGGGGCTGGGGGTGGAGTCCAAACAGATGTTACTGACCTTTATAGATAAATTTCTCCAGCCAGAGTTTAAGACTGAGCAAGTGGCAATTGCATTTCCAGAGGTTGTCCTTGAGAAATAAAAGCCTCACACTGGGCATGGATTCTAGGAGTGCTCGATCAAGCTGCTGAAGCTGGTTTTGTTGAACTGCAAATACGGTTAGGTTCTCCCAAACCTTACCCAGGGAGGTGGGAAGGTGGGTTATGTTGTTTGATGACAAATCAAGCTCCCTCAGCTGTGGGAGGGAGTGGAAAAGTCTGCTTTCCAGAGAGTGCAGGGAGTTCTGGGTTAGGTTTAAGACCTTCAAGTGATGAAGTCCCTGGAAAGCTCCGGGGGCCAGGTTTGAAAGGGAATTGTTGCACAGGTTCAGGGTCGTTAGCTGGGGCACTGACCTAAACGCGAAAGCAGGAAGCCGCTGTATCTGGTTATCTTGCAAGTGCAGCGTTAGAGTCTGCGGAGGCAAATCAGAAGGGATTTCAGCCAGACCCTGCTGGCTGCAGTCTACAGAATGTGAGGATGAGTGACAGCGGCACTTCTCCGGGCAGCCGCACACCCCCTGGAGCAGGACAATCGCGCCACAGAGCAGAAGCAGGTCACCTACAGCAAACAGAGAGAGAGAGAGAGAGAGAGAGGAGAACCAATTTGTAAGCGGTGTCAGCATTGCTTGACATGTGCCCCTCTGAAGTCACAAGGAACAGGCAGGAGAGGGCCTATCATTCCCCACCCTTAGGAGAATCAGGGAACCGGGCACCTCCCCAGTGGGGTCAAATGTTGCACATTCTGTGCTGACTATTGTCAGAGCCTTGGAAAAGTTACCTCCTCAAGTAGCTTGTTAACTGGAAGATGAAAGGCTTAATGATATCAGAGAGAAAGGTGAAAAAAATCTTGAGGGGGACACATGTCTGTTGTAGGGACAGCGGAATTCTCTGAGGCCAGAAGTTTAGAAAAATGACAGGCCAATCAGATAGTCGCATTTCTGAAAAGTGTGCACCAGATCAGTGATGTCCAGAAGAACCTGCTGTGGCGATGGGAATGATCTGTATCTGCTGTCCAGTGTGGTGTTCCTTAGCTGCATGTGGCTACCGAGCTCCTGAAATGTGACTACTGCAACCGAGTCCTGAATTGTTATTTGCATTTAATTAATTTAAATTTAAATAGCCACATGGTGCTGATGGTGACCATCCTGGATTGGGCGAGTTTAAAGTATTCCTATGTATTGATGTGCGTCTTTGCAGGTGTAAAAATTCCATGAATGATGATTGTCTCACCTTTTATTCAAGAGATTTAAAAAATACAGACCTATGTTCCTATAACAAAGTTCTGTCAATCAATCCTTTACAGGTTGTCATATTTTTCATCTTTTTTTCTTTTAACTTAAAGAAACAAAGCATTACTGATACAGTTGAAATCCCTTTGATTCGCCCCCAAGTCATGTTTTCCAACATGAAGCCCCCTCTCCCCTACCATTACTGAAGTATCCCTCTGGGCCTTTAAAAATTAACACTTAATAACAACAACAACAACAACAACAGCAAATAGTCATCTAGCACAGGTTTTGAACCCAACACCATTGTACTATTGTAAGTGCATTATAGTATTATGTTAATATTATATATATAACCAACTAATATTACATATAATTGTATATGATTATCTTATATAATATGTGATATGTTTAAATAAATAATTATATAATATATTAATATTTATTATATATCAATTAATATGTTATTATATGTAACTATATATTATAACATATTATATGTATTAATTTAATTCTCATAACCTTGCAAGTCTGATTCTGTTGGATTCCCATTGTAAAGGTGAGGGAACTGAGGCATGGGGAAGCTAAACCACTTGTCCAAAGTCACAGATAGTAGTAGAATCATCATTTGAACCCAGTCTGCTTTCAGAGTCTGTAAGGATCCTTACCTGCTGTGCTTTACCACCTGTCAAACTTTTACACACAGACACACACTACATAATGTTTTATATTGTGTTCTTTAAGACTCTACATAAATATAGTCATTGGCATGTCTTATTCTGCCATTTACTCTGTTCACTCAAAACTAACCTAACCATGTAAATATAGAGTTCATTCATTCATTCCTTTTTTTTTTTTTAAGATCTTATTTATTTATTTGACAGAGAGAGAGAGCCTAAGCCAGGGAAGCGGCAGGCAAAGGGAGAGTGGGAAAAGCAGGCTCCCTGCTGAGCAAGGAGCCAGAGGCCAATTTGGGTCTTGATCCCAGGACCCTGGGATCGTGACCTTGAGCTGAAGCCAGACGCTTAAACTACAGAGCCACCCAGGCGTCCCATTCATTCCTTTTAAATACTATAGATGATTCCATGGTGACACCATGCCAAATTTAATATATTGCCACTCTCTTACTGATGGGCATTTGAGTTGCTGCAATTTTCCTTCACTATAAACAATGCTGCAGAGCATCCTTAGAGCAACTTGGCCATGCAGATTTTATGAAGAGGATCTCTAGAATCAACAGGAGCCTCCATGCAAGGTTCAGAGAGGCTGCTGAGTTGACATTTTTTTAGATACTGCTAGATCAATCTCCAGAGTAGCTATATTACACCTTGCTTTTTTTCCTGGGACTTGAATTTCAAAATATGGCAAATATCTGTCAAGGACGTTTTGTTCAATTGGTAGAATAATTCACAAGGCCATGCAATAATATTTAAAACTTAAGATGATTATCTATTTATAAAGAAGGCTCTTGGAAGAGTCTGTTTGTTTTGTTTGGACCTTAACTAGGGAAAGAAACAATGTGGCTGCCCGATGCACCGAACCCTTGAATTCCCGACTGAGGGCAGCAGGGAAGATGTCTGGAGAACCTTCTGAAGATACTGCTTCGTTTAGTTCAGCTCAAGGGATGCAAAACATCATAGTCCCCTTTCCTTTTCCTAAATATAAAAGAGCAAAATCTTTCTCTTCCTTTCTATAATTTTGTAAATCATCTAAATGACTCCTTTCAAAGCCAATGCACCTTCCTGGGAGAGGAGAGTCAATGCCCCACTTCAACTGTGGGTCTCAGGCAGCAGTTAGTTGCACGAAATCAAATCTCAAACCAGAGAACACGTTTTCCACAGAATCCGCTAATCTATTAGTGAAAGGCTTGTCTTTCTGAGCTGATAGCCAGTTTGCTCGTTCTTCCTTTAGTGCCAGTCCCCTCGCCTGCCCGAGGGGCATGATATATCCCCTCCAACTTGAAGCCCTGTATTTTCTCTATGAAATGGCCCATGGCATGCCAACTGCATATCCAATCGTGGCTGGGTACATTTGTCCCCACACCCTTCTTCCGACCCAACATGGCACAAACATAAATTCCCCCACCAGAGACATTTTTCATATGTTTGGTGTTTGGAGAAAGACTACTTGAAAGTTAAGTTTCCCTCAGATACCTTGTTGAGAGGAGTCCCTTCCTCCCACGGATAAGAACTTTCTAAGGCGCGAGGGGATTGATCACGGCTCACCTTTCATGGCTGCGTCTCCACAGACTCCCTCGTGGAACCCGTAGCCCTCCTTTATTAATGTGCAGATCAACCCACCGAGGGCATGGCAGACTCAGGGTCCAGCTTGTCATTCACTCTCTCAGGATCCCGCTTGTGCTTTTCTTCAATGCAGAAAGCGGTCGTCGCTTTCAGGAGGCCACTTATTTAAGCAATCCTGCCCCCGTCTCCATCTGGCTGGGACTGTTTTCCATAAGAGGATCTTTCGATTGTGCCCCCTCTTCTTTCTTAAAGTGTCGGCCTTCCCAGGATCATCCCTGCCTTTCCCATTCAGACGACGAGCCCCAGGAAGAATGTTTGTCAAACCTCAGTGAACAGCTGTAGCGTTCAAACATGACCCCGATGGCTCAGCCTTTCTGATTATTTAATCTGCTTGAAGTCCAGGGCACCAAAATAAAACTGCCTTCTTAATCCGGTGGTGGTGGTTTCTGAATTCTGTTGACTTCTTGACCATGCTGTGTCAACCCTCGGCACGTTGGGGGGCACTCGCCGTGGATCCTCGGTCTGGGGGTCTGGCCACGGAGCCAGCAGAGTGTGTAATGTGAGGACAAATCGGCCTGCTGGAGGCTGACACGGTTTCCACAGCGCGCTTGTTTGGTCATCGAAGGCTTATTCAGCCAACATCCGTAGGGATTAGCCGTGCTGACAGGGTCTTGATGCCCTGAAATTCATAGTCATGGTTTGGACATCACAGGCTCTTCTCGCTGGTGCCACAAATACTTCTCAGCTGCTTCTTTTCTTACCCCCCTCACCCCCGCCTCCCCGGCCTGACCTTTCGGTTCGCGGGACTTTGGAAACGCTTCTCAGCCTTTCATCGTTTCCCTGATGCCGAGGTTCCGGCCCTTTCCTCATTTTTCACATATAAAACAATAAAGCTGCCCCGTGAGCATCAGGCATCAATGAACTGTGACTGTTCCCTCATTGAAGCCGTTGGGAACTTGCCCACCAGAGACTGGAACATTCCTTTGAATGTGCAAATCCCCCGTCATTTGCTGAGCTGGGGTTTCGATCCCAGGAGCTGCTCTTCAACTTGGCGAAATGCTCCCGTGCCCGGGGCCTCTACATGAGGTAAGACCCTTGCTTTTGTGGCGGTGGCGGCCTAAAGAGGCATCGCTGGCCCCAGGCAGCGTCCTAGAGCAGTTGCGTGTGGGATTCGGGATTAGGTGGGTCTGGATTTGAATTCCACTTCACCATTCATCAGCTCCAGGTCCCTGGGTGAGCAGCCCGCCCTCTGGGGTCCTCAGCGCCTTATCTTTGACGGGGAGATAGTGGTATTTTTTGCTTCCCAGGATTGTTCCCAGGATTAAGTTAGAGCAAGCAACGCCATGACCCAGAACTCCTTAATAAGCATTCACAGTTACCCATGAGAATGCCTTGCAGGACTTCTGTGCTGCTAGTGTTCAAAGGGCAGCCTTCAGTTGACAGGTAGGAGGACGGTCCTGGCTAAAGCTTGGGACACCTGGCCCCTCATGCCACTCAGGTGGTACCAGAGGACCCTTGTGAACCAAGTTGAAAAATTGGATTGTGACTCTCCTTTGGAGCCTGCTCTTTGGAATCTCTTGTACCCTCTGGCCATGTCCTTTCCAGCCTCACAGAACCCAGTATACCCATCCTGCCCCCTTCCTGAAAAATCAAAAATCTGCTTTACCCACCCTGCTACCTTTTGTCCTCTTCTCCAAAGTTCTTTGAGTACTAGCGATACCATGGAGAAAAGTCAGGTGTAGGTGACTGAGAGCCTTTTAAACCTTCATAAGGGCTAACTGGCTCCTTTCTCCCCACCTCCCCCCTTCTCTCTCTACTTGCAGGTATATAGAATCATAATCATTCCTTAGTGATACATGACCAGAATTATGTAGCCTTCAGTCATTAATGCATCATAATATAGCAAACACCTATGAACTTAACCCTCACTCTAAGAACTAGAAAGTTACCAATAACTTACATCAACCTGTGTGTCTGTGTCTTTCCCTGGGGTTGGCAAACATTTTTGTGGAAAGGTCCAGATAGTGGACATTTTAGACATTGAAGGCCGTACAGTCTCTGTCACAACTATTCAACCCTGATGTTGTAGTGCAGAGCCAGCCATAGACAATCCATAAACAAATGAGTGTGCCTGTGCTCTAATAAAATTGTATTTACAAAAACAGGTGGAGGACTGGGTCAGCCCATAGACCATAGTTTGCAAGCCTTGCCCCATCCCATTCCCTAGCCAGCTATCATTCTTCTCTACCACCACCACCTATCATCCACTCTGCTAGCCATACCCACCAGCCTGTCTCCTCATTTACAAACTGAGAAAGAATGATTGTTAGAGTGTTCTTATGTCTAAAACTTTGTCATTCTCATGACAAACTGTAGACAGTCATGACACATGCAGCTAAAGCCAGACTGTGTGGCTAATTGAGGAAGTAGACTTTCATGCTGCTTATCCTCTGAAGCTGGGTAACCTTGGGCAAACCACAGGCTCTCTCTGAATCCTGGCTTCCTCATCAATAGAATGCAAATAGCAGCTACCTCATATGGCACAAGAAGGACCAAGTGATATGTGTTAAGTGCACAGCACGGGTCTGTCAGAGCAAATGAGCAAAAGTGGCATCTCCTATTAGCCCCAAGGAGTCTAGACTGGCTGTTCTCACCTAAAATGTGGATAACCTGGGAGCACACACAGAACTCACATAGCTGTTGGGTTTCTGGGAGACGTGCCTTACTGTTCTATTTTGCTCCTGCTGACTCTAACAGGCGATTAAAAAATGGGCAGTGCACACTTGGAGGGGAAGCCTTCTGAACGTTGAAGGACTTGGATGTGGAGTCTGATTGATTTTTTTCATCTGACCTCAGCCCAAAGAACAAAGCGGGGGAGTGTGACAGGCATGCTAATGCCTATAGTGCCTTCCCTCTCTCCCTCCCTTGGTGAGACAGATCTGAGAGTGACAAGACAACCGTGCATGCAGGAGAGTAACAGAGATGCCAAATGTCAGGTCAGGCCAAGGCGCTCTGTAGAGGGGAGGCTCCGCTGTGAGGGTTCTTAGTACCAAGACCTAGTCAAGGGCCCGGTTTCTCATGCCGCAACTTGCTTCAGACACACCCTTGGAATAATACTGTGGTTACTGCTGCACTGAGGTGTCAAGAATTTCCTAGCTTCTACATATTTCATATATATATATATGTAAATATATGTGTGTGTGTGTCTTATATGCTTTTGTCCCTTTTAAGTCAGAATGTTTCCTAATATAAATTGGTCTTTTAAACATTTCACATCCAAAAAAATCAACAATTATTAACATTTAAAATTGATGAAGTTTGAAATCCAGCAAACATGTGATAGCTCTTTCTCCCAGGTAATGTATGACTAATAAAAAAAATAAGTTAGAGCTAAATATACTCACCTGGGAGGTATTCATAATACATTGTTAGGTTAGATAAAGCAATTTGAATAGGAATATATATTGTGTAATCCTATTTATGTTGCCAAAAAAAAAAAAGTAAGAGTGCAGAGGTGGAGGGATTAACCCTAAAAATATGCATTGATTTGTCTGAAGATGGAATAAGTGGGGAAGAACAGATGCCAGATTAATAATACTGATTTCCCAGAAGACAGGGATATTTTAAGGAAAGAGGAAAATTAACTTTTTCTGTTTATACCTCTGCATATTCAACTTGCTACAACAAACGTGTTATATCTGTAATTTTTAAAATACAAAGGAAAAGAAGAGTTAACTTTTGTTAAGTAGGATGTAGAGGAGCATTTCGCCTACTGGAATATTTGAGATGGATGATTCTTAGTAACCAGCTGAGTTTTAGGGACACCTGGGTGGCTCAGCGGTTGAGCATCTGCCTTCGGCTCAGGGCATGATCCCAGAATGCCGGGATCAAATGCCACATCAGGCTCCCTGCATGGAGCCTGCTTCTCCCTCTGCCTATGTCTCTGCCTCTCTCTCTCTCTCTCTCTCTCTCTCTCTTTCTCATTAATAAATAAATAAAATCTTAAAAAAAAAAGCTCAGTTTTATGTGCCAGTATAGAATCCTGGAGTTCTGCTTGTCTCACTCTATGAGAATTTGTCCCCAAAGTCATACATATCTTTCTCTGCCAAGTCATCGCCACATGTGAACAGACCTCATAATGCATGGAATATTTTTCCCAGTTTTAATGTATGCTTTGGTAAAATCATGGCAAATTTTTCACCCCATCCCCACCAGCAGGCCCCCATCCAAAGCAGGTGCTGCAGTGATCTGACTCGGGGGAGGCAGCCAGGCCAAGTGACAGCTGCTGCCCAGTATAGCTCAGAGAAAGACCTTGGCACTGTAAATCCATGCAGAAATTTCATTTGGTTGTGGAGGAAATTTGGCATTTGGAAATATTTCCCTAGTGTTGTAGATGACCAAATGGCACCCAAATATAAAGTTTATACAGAGCTACTTAAAAGACCTCAATATTATTTCCTTCCTTCCTTCCTTCCTTCCTTGTTTCTTCCTTTTTTTCTTTATCCCTTTGGTCTTTTTTTTTTTCCTTTTTTTTTTTCCGCCACTGGCTTTTTATTTTTTATTTATTTTTATTTTTTTTAATAAATTAATTTTTATTGGTGTTCAATTTACCAACATACAGAATAACACCCAGTGCTCATCCCGTCAAGTGTCTCCCTCAGTGCCGGTCACCCATTCACCCCCACCCCCCGCCCTCCTCCCCCTCCACCACCCCTAATTCATTTGTCTTATAAAACATATAGCAAGTGAACTAGGAATATATTTTCCAATGGCTATCATATTATTTATTTAGTGCTTATAATGGACCAGATGTCGCTGAGGATTTGTACTGGTTAAATACAAATCCTCAATGTAACAGCTACTACAGTGAGTAAACTTCCAGATTTATTGCTCTTATCACAGTCTAGTTGAGGTGGACAGGGGGCTAGCCTTCATGCACTTATTCAGCTTCCTTCCATCTTGTCACTATGCCTCCCTCTTAGTTCTTAG